GGTAGTTGAGGCCTAAAGCTATATCTTGAGCAATACTCAGAATCTGTTCATTGGTTAATCGGTTTCTGTGAAGCTCCTGATTAAGACTAGTGCTCATCAGCTCGGTCAAGATGAGAGGATTACCCACTTTAGTTGCACCAATAAACTGAACCAGGTTAGGATGACGTACTCGTGATGCTATACTCATTTCTCTGGAGAAGAGACCTAGATTAAAATCTGAGATGATGATAGTATGAAGTGACTTGGCAGCTACTCTTAAACCTCTAAAAATACCAACTGTAACGACACCATAAGATCCTCTTCCTAACTCGTCCTCTGTCAAAGTCACCTCATCTTTATTAATAACCCAGTGATCATCAGTAAGTGCTTGTTGCTGGTATTTACGAACTGCCTCTTGAGACTGACGTAGCTCCCTATCCTTCTCCTGTAGCTCCCTATCCTTCTCGTGTAGCTCCCTATCCTTCTCCTGTATCACAATATCCTTCTGTCGTAGTGCTTCCTGATTTCCTTTTAGTGCCACTTGATGCTCTCTTTCCTTGTCCTGTAGCTCCCTATCCTTCTGTTGTAATTCCTCCTGCTTCTCCCTATCCTTCTCCTGCAGTACCATCTGATGCTCCCTATCCTTCTCCTGTAGCTTCCTATCCTTCTGTTGTAATTTCTCCTGCTTCTCCCTATCCTTCTCCTGCAGTACCACCTGATGCTCCCTATCCTTCTGTTGTAGTTGATGACAATATCTTCTTATTTCTTGCTCTTTCTCTGCTTCTTCTCTTTCCTTCTGTTCCAATTTTCGATGAGCAACTTGTGCTTCTTTCTCCTTCTCTAAAAGACTCTTCAAAAGAGCTTGTATGGTTTGCTCAATATCAGCTCTTTCTCCTTTTCTTGGTTTCTGGTACTCCTCCAACCATATTTTTCTTCCTGTCTGTAGTTGCTGCTGATACTTCTTTTTGTATTCTTCATTATTCATACCATTGGTATCTAATAAATCATCTACTGTCCACTCTCCTTTACTGTTAGTAACTAAAATACAATATTAATAATTTTTTAATTAGAGGGTGTCGATCTAATGCAACATTAAGTACATGTACATCAAAGTAATTACCATAATTCTTCTAAAATTTCGCACCTCTAATTTCGAAAATAAATAATTTTTAAGGACTTTTATTTCAAAATTAATTCTAATTATTTGTTTTGTAAATTAAGATGGAAGTTCTTCTAATTTCACCATTTCCCTCCAATTTCGACACTCGACAGCATTATAACACATGGACCTGTGCTGGAAGAGGCTGAAAATCATGTCCAACTCACAGTGATGCCTCGAGCAGCACTCCGCTGGACAGATGATTGCCATTAGTAGGCCTAAGTTCAAGATTCAGATTGTATCAGTCAAGCAACAAAGAAGCATCGACAGACTTACAATATCTTGTCCAAACATGCACCTTAGTGCCTCCTGTTTCATCACAATTAATTGTTAGTTGGCCATAAAGGCTTAGTTTATTCTAATTATTCGTTTTTAAAATTTATTTATCAAAAGTGACTATGGCGAATTTTTAGAAGAATTACGGTAGGTAATTAATAGTATTTATTGGTGGGTGTGGCTAATACACTGACCTAATTTAGTTAACATAACAATGTTAGGATTAGTGACAAATGTCTCTCTCAAATACCCTCCAGTAGTTATTATCCAGACACAATGAGGACTCATAATGAACACTGAGAGAGAATGACCATATCTTTTACTAACAGAGTGATGTACACATAACTGTTAATAGAAATATATTAATAATTTACAGGCATCTCACTGTACATACCTTTATCCAGGAATGTCGAGTGATGTTAAAGATCCACCAATCATCTATTGTCTTATTCTTCTCATCCAACCCACCACTTATCACTAGCATAGGACAGTCTGATCCAGTTATAATAATAGCACCAGCATGCCAGTATCTACCCACAGGCCATAGGTCTATTGCTTCAGGTTTCTTTATACACTGCCAGAACTAAAAATAAAATAACCACACCCATTAACAATGACACTAGTGTGTGTGTTTGTGTGTGTGTGTGTTTGTGTGTGTGTGTGTTAGTGTTTTGACCTAACCCCCGGGCTATGTCTCAGGACCCAGCTACCATAACAGTAGCCTAGCACTGGGCTTGCACCTCAATTGAAAGTACTGGGATCTTCAAAGCTCAACATGCACATTCAAGAGTTGCAATTAACAGAGTATGGGGTTCCCTTCTATTTTTAAATATGCTTGCTGGGACAGGTATTCTGGCCTTGAGAACCAGAAATGGCGGGTTAAACAATCTTTTATGGAGCTCCAACTCTCCCCGCACTGTCTGAGGCCCTGAGCCTCACTCAGCTATTGGTTTAACTGATAAGGTGTTTATGTAATTGAACTCTATGTTAACTACTCCTATGCCAGGAGCGTATCCAGGAGGGGCTGAGGGGGGCTTGAGCACCCCCTCATGGCTGGGCTCAGAAAAAAATTACTCCAATCCTGGATTTTTGCATCACTACCAAGCCTCTTAACAAAGTTATCTAGCCCCCTGATCATGAATACAGCAGTTTCCAATGCTTTAAGGAGCGACCAGAAGTCGTCAGAAGTACCAGTATGCTTGAAATTATTTTGATCTCACCCATAATTCACAAAAATGAAGGAAAATGCCGTTTTACCACCGCAAAAAGGGTATAGTGTGACCAAAATTGTGGTGCACTTTGCGCGCCTTCAGCACCCCCTTTCTAAGTTTCTAGATATGCCCCTGTATGCACACAGTTATGGTTCATGTTACATATAAAGGACACTGTATGCTACATGTACTTTGATTATACAGTTAATTTTTGATTGTAAATTGTTTTAAAATACATGACTTACAGGGCGTCCTACTTTCTTTGCTGCCCTCACACACTTAGATGCCGCAATGCTTAATGATAGATGGGTATTAAATCATAAATTATTTAATCATAAATTAATTTTCATGTGTTGATAGATATTCTTAACCCAGCTAACCATAGCCGTAACCTAGCGTTGGGGTGTACCTCAATTGGAATGATTGGCCAATGCCTGTGATTCCCTCCCATTGACCCATGTTATAAGGTCGCCATCAGATGGTCTTTTGCTCCAGTTTTGTTTATGTGGTTTAGTTATATTTGCTATTAGTTAGTTTTTGTTACCATTATTGTTGCTTGTTCATGTGTGTTAGTCATTATAGTAAGAGGTGTGGTTTTTCTCACGTGACCCTCCGAAGAGACCAGCAGTCTGGCCTTGAGAACCAGATGTGGCAGGTTAAAATGTTTTTTCGGGCGTCCAACTCTCCCTGCTCTGCCAAATCCACTTCAGTCAGGTCAGGCAAGTTTTAAGTAATCTTTATAGTCCTAAACTGGAGTTGCTTTAATAGGCTGATACTAAGTTTTTGTAGCACATGTACATGCATGTGTAAGACTAGTGTAGGCTCTGTGGTTTTAAGGATTATGTCTTTTTTTGTAGATGACAACTCACCTACATGTACATCTAGTTCCTCTGGGAGTGTAGTATGGGCCTGGGTAGCTAGTACTGGAGACCAATGTGACTTGGGTAGCCATTATTAGGGGCCATGTGGTGCTTATATGAATTATATGTATGATGTAATTAATTAATTATTGTGTGTGAATAATTATAATTAGGAGAAACCATTACTTATGAAAATTTCTATATGTATGCATGCATACGTATGCTTGGGATGTGACTTGGAGGTGTGACGATGAGGAAGAGTCTCTCAATGTTTTACACTCTTTCTAGTTATTCATTACTGTATATGCAATAATAATTGTTTGTGTGTGTGTGTGTGTGTGTGTGTGTGTGTGTGTGTGTGTGTGTGTGTGTGTGTGTGTGTGTGTGTGTGTGTGTGTGTGTGTGTGTGTGTGTGTGTGTGTGTGTGTGTGTGTGTGCATACATTCAGTACACATAATTTAACATACCACAGTGCTGATTGATATCTCTGCTATATAAATATTGTTAGCAAAAGTATTCTTAGCATCATCATCAGTCTCTACTCCACCAAACAGAACAGCTCTAGTGTTGTTGATCTTTTCAATGATAAAGTCGTTAGCACGTGGTAGACACTGACCAATGATTGAAGGATTATTCCATTTTCCTAAATTATTAATATCAACATAGTTTCAAACAGTAATACAAAATCTTACTTGATGATAGATTATACATTGAGTGCTCATTAGTACGCCAGTCTCCATTAGGTAGCTTAATATATTTATAATGAGGTAGTTGTACAGCTGGCTTAGATCCTTGTCCTCCTATCATTAGTAAATGGTGCACTCCATCATGTTCAAATGATATCATTCCACCAGCACTTCTCCTCATAACTGGTCTAGTTGCATCAGTTGGTTCTAACTCTCTCCATTGAACACTAATGGTATCCAGTTGTGTAATACTGTTGTGAAAGCATTTGTCATGGCCACACCATCCCCCAAAATAATACAGTTGATCGTTTATTGCAGTACAGGAGTATGCCCTCACTCCTAATGGAGGAGTACCAGTAGTACCTCTAGTGATCCATTGACCAGTTGGAGGAGTAAAGTGCTGTATATTACTAGTGATCCTTCTCTTCTCTTCACTATCATGTACTTTAGGTAAACCATCCTGATCACCAGCCCACACATACAGTGAATCACCTACTGATACAGTGCGGTGAAAGGCTTTTTTATTCAGTTGATCTATATATCAATGATTGACAGTACATGATCACTGGAATAGTAATATTAGGACTTACTTTTAGAACCAAACAACCAAGCCATCAGGCCTGCTGGCTGCTGCCTGCTGGCCACTGGCCTGCCCACTTGGAAAAGCGGTGCTTTAAGTCACGTGATCTATTATGAGTGGGCGTTGTTTGTATTGGTAGGTGTGGCTGGATGATGAGTGAAGACCCTATTTACTCTATTATTTATGGAAGACCTAAGACAAGTAAAACTCTGCTATTCCTATGCTTGCTAATCATACCATAAATACTGTATTGTACTGTATTTGCATAGACACTTACTGAGCTCAATGAAGACTACAGTAGAAAGATATCATGGCAGAAGTCCTTCATGATATGCATCAAAATACTTGAGCTGATATTAATGATAAGCATTCCTTCCTTTAACCTGTTGTTGTGTTTGTTAGATTCTTGCTTGTGGCTCCAGTGGATTCTGTATAGTAATACTTGTTATTGCTACTGATGTATTGGAATCAGAAGCAGTTAAAATAAGAATTAGATTTATGACCATGGTAGCATTGTTAGCATATGCTATCACCAATCAAAAAAACAAAAACTATAAAAACATTAGTCTTGCTAGGCCCCTTTGCTACGGGGCATGGCGAGACTTAAAAACATTAACAATTGCGATGTTGTTTTCATTGCCATTTGGTGTCAAGATCTTCATTCTTCTATTGCTATAGGTGAAGCATTATTTGATTGGAGTCCTATGCATCTCAATACTTCAGATATTAATTGGTATAGATTATGATTAAAATTTTATTTTCTTCTATATCTACAGCTAGCTTTGGAATTGGTAGCATTCTAGTGCACCACGTATGTACTTATGCTGCAGTGAGTAGTGGATACAATTCAATGTATGCAGTATTACATTATTCCTATGTATAGTACTGTATTCTAACACTTGGACTCTTACTATCATCCCTATCAATGACTATATTCCTTTATATTGAGATAGATACAGTAAGTGAATACGGATTGCTCTTCAAATATCAGTACAATTTTTCCCATAGTTTATTGACAGTGTTACATCACTTTTATCAACAAGCAATTCACATAATTTGGGTCAAATTAATGATGTAGTAATCTATAAAAAGCTATCATTTATTATTATTTGTTAATTTTGAATTTCAGTTTAGCTGCAGTGAATTCAATAGTACAGCAGTACCATTTGATACAACAGATCTTGTTAGTTGAATTGAATATCAATTATACATATTGGTTTCAGTGTGAGGCCTTCAGCTCCATCTTATGATTATGGATACATTTTTGAGAGAACACATGCTTTTGTACAAGACCTGATAGCAAGAAGGTCTTTCTAAAATGCATGCATCATGTACTCAGTTTCTGCATTATTATATTGAAAGATGACATTAACAGCATAGTACAAGATAAGGAAAAACAGAAATACTGGCACTAATGAGTGAGTGAATGTATACAAACATATACATACAAACATACATATACATGTAATTAAGTTGTGTAGAAAGCTTAAACTAATTTCAATCAAAATTGGATTTTTTAATGAATTTTTAAAGTTGCTCCAAAATTGGACAGAGCCAGGCAGTACAAGCCAGGTCTTGGTCCAAATTTTGCCATAATTGAATAAGTAGAGAATTCTACATTTTCATTAAATTTTTTGATGCATATACATATGCTATACGTTGTGCAAAAAGCCTAAGGTGATTCCAATTAAAATTAGTTTTTATCATAAATTTTAAAATTGCTCCACAACTCCCTGTACAATTGTCTTTATTTCTTTTATACAATCCGTTGATTCCACTGCTAAAACAGCATGTCCTGCATCATGGACAATGGAATATAATTCCTTGGCTCCTGAGCACTTTAATAATAGAAATAATAAGTTATTTGAATGCACTGATCTTAATAGGGAGAAGGTCCCAGGGACTGGAGTTCATCAAAATTTATTTAGCCTCTTTCCGTCATGTCAATGCTTTGTATGAAGGATTGAAGTGTCCCCTATTTGTTGCTGCTCTGGATTTGGCTTGTGTTATGTAGTCTAAATAAAACAGTGAGAAAAATGGAACATTTCAACAGTAGATTTAGGACTTTTTGTAATTTTTTGTATTTTTTATTGTAAAAACAATTAAATCCAGCTGTTGCTAATAAATCAAAATCATGAGCAGCAAAAAATCAAGAGCACATACATACAATAAGCTATTAGGCATTACTAATCGAGGTGTGTGGATGGTGGTTCCTTTATGTTTACTTTGCTTCTCTTGATTATGATATTGTGAAATTTGTTCTTCATGAGAAATGATCTTCTGTCATTCCCTAATTCTGTCCTTTCTCTCATTATCTGTAACAGTGCATGCTGCCTGGAAATACATTAGTGTTGTTAAAAAATTATCTCACTTATCATACTCCACATGGTTATGATAACTCTGTACCAGTGAAAGAAATATGTGCTGCTAAACTGATATTGATAAGGAATCAAAATAATAAAAATTACTGTAATTAATGCACATTGTGTATGCGGCTGACTTCAGTGACACTCCCAAACTCTGTCACGTTCAGTTCACTCATCAATTCTCGTGCACAAGTGATATTCTGCTGCAATTTTTTGTTTAAATTTAAAAGTATTAATTTTTTATAAAAAAAAACAAGAATAACAGAACCAAGAGCAAACAACAAAGGATAAGAGAAGCCAGAAAAATAATTATAATGTTGGTTACATAAATAAATACACAAAATGGACTAAAATAATAGAAAACTAACTAAAAGGCAGCAGTAATAATTAGAATATCAAAATACAAACAATTAATCAAATCTTCATCCTTTTCAATGACTCTATTACTTGAGCCATAGTAGGACGAGCTCTAGGATTAGCATTAAGTCCTCTTTGTATGAGAGACTCCATATCAGACCAGGAGACACTAATAGATTGTACTTCTCTCTCTGCTGTCCTCATTTCCATAAGGAGAACAGAGTAACTGTAGACATCCATTGCTGGACTGTGTTGATCAGGATCACGAGCTTCTGGTGCAGCATATGCTGGATTGCCTGGCATAACAGTACTACCAGTGCCTTGTG